TCAACATTTATTTATAATACTGTCTGTGGTAAAGGGCATGTATTATACTTTTATTATCTAAGATGTCAGTAAAAATGTTAATGTCATGGGGGAAATGTCAATAAGTATAATAAATGTACAAAACAAAACAAAGACAGCATACAAACCATTTGTATAGTACAACAACAATGCATAGAAAAAAGACTGGAAGAAAATAAATCAAGATTTTATTAGCAGTTACTGTTGGTGATTTTTTTAATTTTACTTTTCTTTTATAAAATTCTTTACCTCTGAACCAAATAATGCAATATAAGTTAAAAAAAAAAAAAGAAGAAGAAGATAGCAGGAGGGAAAGAATGAAGGGGGGGAAATCGGAGGGGGAGACGAACCATGAGAGACGATGGACTCTGAAAAACTGAGGGTTCTAGAGGGGAGGGTGGTGGGAGGATGGGTTGGCCTGGTGGTGGGTATTGAGGAGGGCACGTTCTTATGGAGCACTGGGTGTTATGCAGAAACAATGAATCATGGAACACTACATCAAAAACTAATGATGTATGGTGATTAACATAACATAATAAAATAAATAAATAAATAAAATAAAGGTATGCATCTAAATAGATAACTTTTTGAAGATGTTTGTTAGAAAGCTTTGAATACAACAGGGCTGCTAACATAGGACTTAATAACTATTTGAATATTTTCAACTCAACTAGCTATCTTCAACCCAACACAGTCAAGTAAATTAGAACAGATTTGAAAGAGTAGATATAAGAATCCATTTTGACAAATCAGAATTCACAGCCCAGTTCAATAATAGCATTAATTCCTAGATCTGGCACTCTCATACGTCACAACAAAAAAAATGTACACCAAACTTAAAGTATATCAAGTGCATCCTGGAGAAATGTATACTTTCACACCAAATATTACTCAACCAACCTATGGAGTACAAAACTGGAAGCACTTGAAATAAGAGCAGTACTACCATTCTGTAAACACCTGATTGTGAGAAATAAAGGATACATATAATGTTTATTTTAACTATGGGTAGTCTACATATCACATGCCAAGCCTATAACTATTTATTGTCGATGTAGTACAATGCCAACATAAAATGCCTTGTCTTCTAGATACAGCTAAAAACAGCCACAAGCACACTTAACAGACACCCTCCACCCAAAAAACAAAAAGCACAGAAATCACTCTGCTTTCCTTCAAGAAAAGACAATCTTCAGTATTAAAAGAGTGATATGGAATGGTAATATCATTAATATAGGTTGCAGAGTCTAAAAGACTTGGTAAAATAATGAGTTAACACTGAGAATAGATAAAAGTGTCCATCCAGCCAAATGAAGTTGGTGTTAGATGTTTAATAGCCTGTATATAACCTTGAGCATTGGAACCCAATGACCTGGATACCAGCACTTAAGGAGATAATGAATCTAGCTCAGTGCTTGTCAGAAAATATTACCAAACTTTCAAGTCCTAGTAGAGAGCATTAAAACACTTCTTGGCCCTGAATGAGAAAAGAGTTCTGTTGGAGTTGACCCAAAAAACTAACTGTAGTATGACCGGCAAACCTAGGTGACTTGAACTTGGCCTGAAAAATCCAAGTTCCAAGAAAGAACTTGTTATTAAATTGGTCATGTCAAACTTTTGAAAGTTTATTGTTATCACTGAATTGCAAAATAATTTTCTAATAAACTTTATAATTAAATCAACTCTACTTAGTATGTAACAAAGTTAAAATTTAATATTGACAGGAATAATAAACTTGGTATAATATGACTTATAATTGTAACCACTAACATTTGTTAAGCTTTTATTATATGTCAAGCACTGGTCTAAGGACTTTACATGTATTCTCAAATCCTATAAAACTGGTACTATAGGGACGCCTGGGTGGCTCAGTCAGTTAGACGTCTGCCTTCCACTCTAGTCATGGTCCCAGGATCCTGGGATAGAGTCTGGCATCGGGCTCCTTGCTCAGCGGGAAGCCTGCTTCTCCCTCTCCCTCTGCCCCTGCTTGTGTTCCCTCTCTCCCTGTGTCTCTCTCTGCCAAATAAATAAATAAAATCTTAAAAAAAAATTGGAACTATAATAACCCCCATTGTAATACAGGTAGAGGAATGGAGACTCAGAAAAAGTAAGTAATTTAAGCAAGATCACACATTTGGCAATGGCAGTGTCTGGGATTACCAAACCATTTGCCACTCTCTTCCCATCTATATAGAAATTCAGGGGCAAAGGGGGAGAGGGAGTAAGGAGCTGAAACTGATGTTCCAGTGTATAAACTACAATTCTATACTTTTCAGAGCATCTTTATGCTGCTGATTTCACACATAGCCAGAATTTTAAAAGGGGTTAAAATGACTGATACATGTTATACACTAAAATAAATATTTGTTGAAAAAACTGTGTCAAAGGGGAAATAAAAAATAATATGACCTCCTTCTACCTCTAAAACATAGTGGACAAACAAGTTCATTCACTGATTTTGTTTTTATGAATAACACTGAATAGTTTTCTTAAATAGAGACTGCTAAACAAAATAATTATACTCTGTATACTTATATCATTACTTAAGCTGAAGGGAATGGAAATATAAAAACTTTACAGTGTATTTTCATTCACCAATATTAAAAGAAATCCTGTGCAAAATAATCTGTGAAAATATGCTACAATCTATACAAAACATAAAATAAATGTATATATAATAGGATTCAAGATAAGTTTTACATCACAAATAGGTTTTATATTACATTTGGTTAGTCAATGACTAAAATACCACTTCAGGAGAACATTATTTAACCTGGGCTTGTGTATTTTCCCCCACAGAATAATCAATGAAGAAGGCTGTGGGTTGCTTAGATTTCTAGGACTTTTATGAATGAAGCTCAGAGCTCATTAGTTACGTGAGTACTCTGCACATAGTTATTTGTAATACAGATATTTTATTTTATTTAACACTTCTTCTGGCTCCAGAAGTTAAATATCCTAAATTCCAAATACCTCTCAAATTACCTTATTAGTTAAATTGCATGAGTTTCCCACTGCAATAAAGTATTTTAAGGACGTGTTTTCAAAATTTAGAGACAACCTATGTTCTCTTTATAAACAAAATAAACATGTTCAAGTCCACAACTCTCTAGGGGAAAAAGAAAGGCCAACACTGTGAAAGATCGCAAAATGCAAGAATCTTAACCACTGAGCACTTATGCTCCTATCTTCTCTAACAAAAACCTCTAGCCAAAAGAGAGTCAAAAGTTCATCTCATCTTCTAAAATGCTTGGAAGTACACCCATGTTGGGATGACATAAATGTTTAAGAGCTAAAATGCTAATAAAGGTCCCATTGATAAAGCATAAGATGTAAACAGCGATGCTAAAAAATGTTTTAATTACTTAATACCTATTGAAGGGATCCCAATTTTATGTAAGCAATAAAATACCACCTTCCTTTAGGCTACTTTTCTATCAAACTTTTTTACTGTGCAGCAGATAATACCTTGATATAATGAAGACAATTAGATTTTTATCTACCACTACAACATGCACTTTCTTTGCTTCTCTGTGAAATGGTTTTCACGGGAAATCCAGCACTATTAAAAAAGACAATCTAACACTAAGACCCTGCGTGCTGTGTTGCGTCACCATATCTCCAAGGTTACTAGAACATACAATGAGCACCTCCCCATCAAGCCTGCACCTGTGCAAAAAAAAGAAAAGAAAGTCCTTTCCACTTCTCCAGTCAAAATAAAGTGCAATAAATTGTCTAGATCCCAGTGAGTGAATTACCAAAAGAAATAGATACAATTAAAGCTGGTCTATTTCTATCATAAGCTGTCAATGATATTCTCCCTAACTCTACAGGCAAGTTTTAAAGCTTCTTGTGTTTTGCCAAAGAACAAACGTTTGCCAAATGATGTTCCTGCTGCCATCCCAGCTGGCTTTTCATTTGTCCAAATAGCTCTCTGGTTGTGGCCCTCCTCATTTGGTAAGCGTCACTGATTACTGTGCTGAGCCCATCCTCCCAGCCCCAGTGATATTTGGTGTAGTCCTTGAACTTGATCCACAGAGCCCCCTCCGGAAGCGCACTACAAAAAGCACCATGCCAAATGCTTTCCGGATCCTCACCCTCATTCTCTCATTTCAGAAAACCACGGCATTTCATTCCCCCCTGGGAAAGTGGACTCAATCCCCCTTTTGCACTCGAGGTGCCCAGAAAGGAAACACAATCTCACTCACACACACGTACACGCACACGCACAACGTCCGTTCCTAATCTCCAACCCTGACAGCAGAAGACATCCAAACTCCAGTTCCCTCCACCCTCCGCTGTTCAGAACACCCAGCAGTTAACTGACAACTGGCGTGGGGGAAATCTGAGGTTTCTGTGAGTCGATGGACACCTCTTTCCCACCAGCTGCTCTCACGCCCCGGTCCCCGAGGCAGCTCAGGAGGCACGGTGGCCCTTTCTCTCCTTGCCCCCTTCCGAAAACACCCGTAATTGTAAGCTCCTGCGCCAGACAGGCACCAACTGGAGATGATCCTGGCGTGCGCCGTAATGCCTCGATGCCAAACTGCCCTCTGTAGGGACACCTCTGAGACCCACATAAGTTAACCCCCAGGAATTCCGTGGAAGCAGAGAGAAGGAAGAGGACCTATGCGCGCAGCTTTGGGCTCCCGTCTTACCCCGCCCTCGGCAGAAGGGAGCCCAGCGCCTCCAAGAGCAGGGCAGGGTGAGAGGGCAAAATCAATGAAGTTAAGAAAGAGGACTGGTTGGGAATTGCGTGCTCTCGAGTTGAAGAAGACGGGAATCGAAAGGGAGATCACAAGGGACGAAACCGTAAATTGTGTCTGCAGCGTGACGGGGCCGTGCAGGGAAAGCCCCTCGCACTTACTAGTTAACCAGCTCCCGCCCGGGACACCGGCCCCGTTTGGGTTCCAGCCGGGCTCAAACCCGCCGCGGGTCGGCGAAGGGGCGGGGAGAAGTAGGAGATGCGGAGACCGGGAACTTACGGAAAAAGATGTACTCGGTGTAGCTGCTCCAGATCTTGTCTTCGCGGTACTGGTTGACGTAGGCGGCGGTGCCCGAGGAGTTACACGCCACCATATGGAAGCCAGCCTCGGACAGGCGATCGAAAGCCTGCTCCAAGTAGGTGAACTTGAGGTAGAAGCGGGACGTGTACTTCTCGGGCGGCCGGTCAGGGTCGCGGCTCTCGTTGAGCGTGTCCCCGAAGACCTCCTTGGCCAGCGCGATACGCCCGCACACCATGATGCGCGCCACACGCCGGAACTTGGCGTCCGCCTGGTTGTCTCGCACCGTGGTGTAGGAGCCGCGGTAGCCGAGCGTGAGGAAGCCCGAGCGCTTGTCCGGCGGCGCGCCACCCCCGCCGCCGCCGCCGCCGCCGCCGTGCGCTCCCGGGCCCGAGGGCGCGGCTGCGGCCGCCCCACGCAGCAACAGCGCGTCGCTGCTGCCCTGGGAGACGTTGTCTTCCAGGTCGCTCTGGCAGCCCTCGTCGTTGAGTGAGTTCTGCTTGGTGACCTTGGGCGACAGCAGCTTGACCAGGTCGGTGAGCTGGAAGTACTCGGCCTCGCGCAGGAGCCGCTCCTTCTCGGGGAAGTGCTCCGGCAGCGCGAGCTGCTTGTCCCGCAGATAATCGAGCACGTACCTGAAGAGGAAGCCGTCCCGGTCGATGAAGAAGCGCGCCCGGCTGTCCCTGGGCAGCTCTCCTCGGCGTCGGGCGCCGCCCCGGGGGCTGGAGGGCGAGAACATACTGGCCAGAGTGCTGTCCGGGACGCTGAGCAACGTCGAGTGCTTGGTCACATAGACCTGGCCTCCCACGTTGAGCTCCACTACCTCGGGGAAGGGCGAGGGCACACAGGGCCCCGGGGCGGCGGCCGCAGACGCGCCCGGCGAGCTGGACGAGGAGACCATCTCGCTAATGGGCAGGATGGTGCTGCCGCCACTGCCCGTGTCCTTCAAAGCCATGGTCCCCCCGCCGCCGGCCAAGTGACCCGGGAGAGCAGCACTTTCTCCTTCCCGAAGCCCGCGCCTGCCACCCTCGGCGGCCCTCGGCCTTGGCGTGTGCCTGGTGCGCCCTCGGGCCGGGCGGCACGTTCCTTCGGCCGGGGCGTCCCCGTTCAGGGCTCGGGGCAGCGGCGGCGGCGCCCGGGCTCCATCGGGGGAGCGAAGCGCGGGAGAAGAGCTCCGCGGGCGCCGCGGCGGCGGCAGAGGCGCGAGGAGGAGCGGCTGCTCCTTTGGGGTGACGGCGGGGAAGTGTGAGAGAGACTTGCGAGAGGCTGTTAGGCGGCCGCTCGGCTCCCCGCGGGGAGGGCGGGAGGAGGGGCCGGAGCAAAGAAAACTCGCCGCCCCAGCAGCTTGCGAGCGCTCAGCCAGCTCCGAGCGCGGACGGTGGCGCTAACTACTCCTCGCAGCCGGGGCGGCGGCACTGACGTCAAGCTCCGGACTGGGACCCGAGCCACAGCTGTCACTTAAAGAGATAGGCGCCAGCCGCTGGCTGCGGGGCTCCGACGCTAGGGGGCGGGGCGGGGACCGAGCTGGGAGGAGATGCTACTTGGCAGCCCGCGGGGAGAGCGAGCAGGGAACCGAAAACACGGGGAAAAGGACAGCGTCTCTCCTTCATTCATTTCATTCTTTCCAGCCGTCCGTCCCTCCGTCCCTCCCTTCTTCCTTCTCTTCCATCTTCCCTACCTTCCTTCCTTATTCTAATCCCTGTTCGCCCAGTAAAATTAATTTGGTTGGGGAGGAGAGGGGGTGTTTGTTTGGGGAGGGCGGGGCGAGGAGGTACGCTTGCATTAAGGTGGGAAGTGGAGCAGGGAGCAGTGGGCATCAGGGGGAAGGTAGGAAAGTTTGGATTATAACAAAAATGCGAGGCTCCTAATCTGAAATTACTACAAATGTTGGCGTGCGAACAGTGATTGCAGACTACATGGCTGTGAATCTCTTGCGGCGCTTTTACCATAGTTTTTGAAGTGAAGGGAGAAATGCCCGAACCTCTATTGGAATCAGTTGTCATGATTGCATATTTAACTGCATGCGATACGCATAACTGAAGAATCTTTAAAATTTGATTTCGGTTCACAAAATTAACAAAGGATTGTACGTAACGTAACTGTTTTCTTCTCTCATCTTTTCATTATTTGATTCATAGAAAATGCTTAATAAATGTTTATGGAGGAAAAGACGCAACCAGGGAGGAAACTTACTCCCTGTTCCTACTTTCCAGTCCTGATCAGTGCCTTCATTAATCTCTCCATTTTCCTTTCAACTCCACTTCTAACCCCAAGAGTCAAGCCACAAGTGAAAATTATATGAATTTAAGCTCACTAATTTCCACCTGTACGTAGCACAGGTACAGTCTGCAAGATCATCATTATTTGTGATAAAGAGTTAGGATGGAGGCGCCTGCGTGGCCCAGTCCATTAAACACAGACTCTTGATTTTGGCTCAGATCATGATCTCTGGGTCATGATCTCAGAGTCATGATCTCAGGGTGGTAAGATACAGGCCCAGCCCCAAGATGGCTGGCTCTGGGTGTGGAGGCTGCTTAAGATTCTCTGTCTCCCTTAAAAAAAAAAAAAAAAAAAAAGTTACCTAGGATAGCAGTGCAAATGAGAAATCTCCTTTCTAGTGGCTATCCACCTCCGGCATCCTTTTGTGTTCAAAAACATGAAGAATCATTGATTATAAAATACAAAAGTGAAAAGAGTATACTGTGACACAAAGTAGTTTGTTTCTATGATTATAATAATATTACAGATGAACTTTATCCACTAATAGATAAAATAATGTATAGACTTTTTTTTTAATTCTAAATGCCTACTTAGGAGTCCTTCTCTGAATCCACCAAAAAAAAAAAAAAAAAGTACTGGATTTGAGATAACAGTACTAACCTCAATTTTTTATAAATAATACATTATTCTTTGGAGAGTTATAAATAATATTTAATTAATTTATCCTTATAAGCGACATCCACAGAAAATGTTATGTCAGTTTTGAAGTTAGGTTACCTGAGACTGAGAGAACCTAGTGGACCAATGAAGGAACACAACACATATCTTCTAAGACTGAGACTTAAAACTGGGTTTACAGTATGCATCTTCATGCAATCCTCTTTTTTGAGCCTATTGCCCTCCAAATTTATAAACTGATCAAATTAAGAAGCAGAATTAATTTTCACCTTATTCATTTAAAAGCTAACAGCGCAAAGTATTTGGAATTTAAAATAATAGTTCCTGGAAAATGAATTAATAGGAGCTTTATAACCTTTATAGATGAATAAATAATAATGCCTCAAACCACTACTAATGAAACCCATTTATCATGAGGCAAATATCCCTAATGATAAGTATGGTACAGACCATAGAATCGCAATGAAGTGGACATAAAATACATATGCATATGTATTTATGAATATGAGGTCACCAATATTATCAGGTTAAAATCCATTTTAATTTTTTAGTTACATAAAATACGCTTATAAGATAAATGGTCTAAAATTCATACTCTAAATGAATCATCTTAGAAATTTTTTTTTAAGATTTTATTTATTTGAGAGAGAGAAAATGAGAGAGGAAGAGAGCACATGAGAGGGGGGAGGGTCAGAGGGAGAAGAAGACTCCCTGCTGAGCAAGGAGCCCTATGCGGGACTCGAGCCCGGAACTCAATCCCAGAACTCCAGGATCATGACCTGAGCTGAAAGCAGTCGCTTAACCAACTGAGCCACCCAAGTGCCCTCATCTTAGAAATTCTTAATGAATTGCATTGTGTGCTATATTGCTTCTTAAAATAATTCCTTCAGTGTTGATTGAACATTTCTCCTTCATCCTTTCCCTCCCCATATTCCTCTGACTCTCACTTCCTCCCATAGCTAAACGCTTTAACAAAACTCCAAACCAAACAAACTGCAGGTCCAGAATGCCTTTCTGCTAGGAATGCCTTCCTTTTCTACCAGTTCCCTAATCCTTTCCCCCTGTTTATCTCTTCCCTGAGGTCTCAGCTTTAATAGCACTTTCTCTGGAAATCTTCGTCTTTTTACGGAAACAGGTGTTCCCTCAGCGCTCTGTGCTCACACATGGGCAGGGTTTATCACACTGATGTGTCATTGTCTCTCATTAAATTGTAAGTATGGCATATAACCATATGCACTATTCTATCCCCAGCATGGTGCCCAGCCCATAAGAGATAGAAAATTTCTATTTGTTGAATGTTTACTGCATATAAATATGTTCATATCATGAATGGATGATGAAGTGTCAACTCTGTGCTAGACACCGGGCTACACAATGAGATTGCAGAGATAAGTAAGACTTGGTCCTTCAAAATTCTAATTAGGAAAAGTGAGAACAGAATCTGATCAAAACAAACTCAATCTAAAAGAAAAGGGAAAACTAAAAAGATATCTACACTATTGGAACAATCATTTTGATGAACTGAGCAATCAACACAAATACTATACAGGGATACCTCATTTTATCTCACTTCACAGATTCTGCAGTTTTTAAAATTGAAGGTTAGTGGCAACCCTGCATTGAGCAAGTCTATTGACCCTATTTTTCCAAAAGCATTTACTCACTTCGTATCTCTGTGCCACATTTTCACAATTCTCACAAAATTTCAAGCTTTTTCATTATTTTTATAATTGTTATGGTGATCTGTGATCAGTGATCTTTGATGTATTATTGTAATTGTTTTGGGGTGTCACAATCCATGTCCATATGAAGCAGCCAGCTATTCCTCCATCTCTCTCCCTCTCCTCCAGCCTCCCTATTTGCTGAGACACAACAATATTGAAATTAGGCCAGTTAATAAACCTACAATGGCCTCCAAGTGTTCACATGAAAGGAAGAGCCCCACTCTCTCACTTTAAATCAAAAGCTACAAATGATTAAGCTTAGTGAGGAAGGCATGTTGAAAGTTGAGATAGGCTAAAAACTAGGGCTCTTGTGCCAAACAGTTAGCAAGTTGTGAATGCAAAGGAAAAGTTCTTGAAGGAAATTAAAAGTGCTACTCCAGTGACCACATGAATCATAAGAAAGCAGAACAGCCTTATTGCTGATATGCATAAAGTTTGAGTGGTCCGGATAGAGGATCAAACCAGCCACAACATTCCCCTAAACCAAAGCCTCATCCAGAGCAAGGCCCTAACTCTCTTAAATTCTATGAAGGCTGAGAGATGAGGAAGCTGCAGAAGAAAAGTTTGAAGCTAGCAGAGGCTGGTTCATGCAATTTAAGGAAAGAAGCCATTTTCATAACATCAAAGTGCAAGGTGAAGCCGCAGGCATTGAAGTAGAAGCTGCAGCAACTTATCCAGACGATCTAGCTAAGATAATTCCGGAAGTGTCTGTACTAAACAACAGATTTTCAATGGAGACAAAACAGCCTTACATTGGAAGATGCCATCTAGGAGTTTCATAGCTGCAGAGGAGAAGTCAATGCCTGACTTCAAAGCTTCCAAAGGCAGGATGACTCTTGTTAGCAGCTAACACAGCTGGTGACTTGAAGTTGAAGTCAATGCTCGTTTACCATTCTGAAAATCCTAGGGCCCTTAAGGGCCCTATAAGTTCTCTATAAGTGGAAAAACAACACCTGGTTGAGAGTATAACTGTTTACAACGTGGTTTACTGAATATTTTAAGCCTATGTTGAGACCTACTGTTCAGAAAAAGAGATTCCTTTCGTTATGATTGCTCATTGACAATGCACCTGGTCAGCCAAGAACTCTTATGGAGGTGTACAATGACATTGTTATATTCATGCCTGCTAACACAACATCTATTCTGCAGCCCATGGGTAAACTGTCATTTTGACTTTCAAGTCTTAATACTTAAGAAATACTTTTTGTAAGGCTATAGCTGACACAGAATAGTGATTCCTCTGATGGATCCAAGTAAAGTAAAATTGAAAATCTTCTGGAAAGGATTCAGGATTCTAGATACCATTAGGAACATTTGTGATTAATTTGAAGAGGTCAAAATATAACATTAACAGGAATTTGAAGAAGTGGATGACTCACTTCTGGATGGATGGAAAGTCATCCATCACTCATGGATGACTTGTAGGGGTTTAAGACTTCAGTGGAGGAAGAAACTGATGTGATGGAAATAGTGAGAGAACTAGAATTAGAAGTGGAGCTTGAAGATGGGACTGATTTGCTGCAATCTCATCTTATAACTTGAACACATGAGCAGTTGCTCCTTGCTCCTTTTGAATTAGCCAAAAAAAGCTGTTTCTTGAGATGAAATCTACTCCTGGTGAAGATGCTGTGAAGACTGTGAAAGTGGTAACAAAGAATTTATGATATCACGTAAACATAGTTAATAAAGCAGCAGCAGGGTTTGAGAAGATTGACTCCAATTCCGAAAGCCCT